CCCCGTGGCCCGGCCCCCCCCCCACCTTAGCCACAGGCTGGTCTCGCTGGCCGTGCGCACGGTGACGCTCCCGGGGGCAACATCTGGTGGAGCCTGCAGCGTCTGGATGACGCGGGAGGGCTGGCTGAGCGGGCTGGGGCCCACCACGTTCACCTGCCGCATCCGGAACCTGCAGCGGAGGACAGATGCAGTGCAGGTTTAACAGCTCAGCGAGTGGTACCTCTCTTTCCAGAACAGCAGAAAGACGGAAAAATACAAATTAGGTCCTTCTAGATGTTCCACAAAGGTCGTTGCATGCAGGTCCCCTTCGTATTCATTACTGAACTGCTTTCAGACCCGCTCAGGTATTAACAAAAATGAAAATGAGATTAGCTTAGGGTCTATTAGAAACTTAGGTATTTGTGTTAGAAATTTATGTTAATTATACCAAGTCTGATGAGCTTATGCTAGCAGTAAGTGATTTTCTCTTGCAATGCTTGTACAATACATTCAGAAAGGTATTAAAATATCAAACTTTGGATGTTCTCATTCCCTGTCAATATAAAAAATATACTAGTGATAACATTTCCCCTCAATTACTGGTTGAAAGAAGCTGATTTATCCCCGTGCTGCATTTCAGCCTTCCTGCACAAGAAAGATTAAGTTAGTTAATATGGATACGCGTCTTTAAAAAATACCCTGTCTGCTTGAAACCATCTCTTCTACAACAGAAATCCCTATTGGGTCACAAAAGATTTAGAGAAATCTTTTTTTCAGGAAGCACAAATAATTAAGACGTGCTGTACATTTCAGATACTCTCACCCGTCACAAGCAATTAGAGGTATCCTGCGCCTGCACATAAAAACATGACCTGTTCATTCTAAACAATTTTTGGACCTAATGACTGAGCTTGGAAAAAGGGTGAGCTAATCAACATAGCAGTGTTTATTTATCTGCTGTGATTTCCCTGGAAAATGCATTAAAGGAAACACATTAAACAAATACTGTCCTTGATTTCACTCTCAAACATTGGCACAAAATACAGAAAAGAAGCTGGCTGCTAAAGATGTGGCCTGATAATTAGCTTTTGTGATATATTTCCTCAGTGGACAATGGCTAAAGCTGATGAGAGGACCACGAATCCATTTGGCAACAACTTTCTAGGTTTCAAAATTTATATAAAATTGTTCTATACTGAAAGAAAACAAAAAAAAGCGCTCATATCTGTGTACGCATGAGAGAAAAAAAACCAGGCAAAATTTAATGAGCTGCTTTAGTCTACAAATTATGAAGAAGAAGATCAGAGGAGAACCGGAGGTGTGGAAGGTGCCATTGCCAACCAGCATAACTGCTCTTGCTAGGTGTGCAAGTCTTCATTTTGCATGGACACTGAACATTGAATTCTGGTACAACCTGCACTTAACTATTCACTTCTGCCTTTTCAGCTTTTGGGACCACAGAATCACTAAGGTTGGAAAGGACC